CCCTTCCTTGGCCCTTAGCAAGTGTGGCTTAGTATCAGGCTAGCAGCAGAGGTGAAAATACATTTCTCCTAATGAGTCTGTCTAATCTTAAGCTTTCTTATTCTTTTTTCTAATATTCTTTCAGGAAACAGATCACCAAATTCTCAAATAATCCCCTTTATTTTCATACACTGATTATAATTAATCACTTTTGCCAAATTAATTCAGTTATATTCCATTTTTACACTTGGAGAAATTCATGTACCAAAAGATAATTTTCCTACCATTATTTATTTTATATACTCAGTGGGGACTGAGTTAGGCCATATAATTACCACTCCTCAGTTTCTAAAAACTTGTGACAGTTGCTATAATAAAAATTATTTCCCAGTAATGTCAGAGATATAATATTAGGTTTTGAAAGCACATCAAAATCCCAATATGAAAAATAATGTGTTACTATGTAATATATTCCTAAAAACATAATTTGAAGTTAACTTTTTCAAATATCAATACATCTATATGGAAAACTGACACCACTTTTGGCTTCTTCACTTTTTTAGGGTCTATCCAAAGTCCAAATTCCAAACCTTCCTCACTTCCAGTTTCTCCTATAACCATGATCAAATCTTGTACCCAAATCATCACGTCTTACTTAGTTTTTCTACTTATAAATTATGGATGATAATATCTGTTCCTTACTTGCTACATGTCATAGATCTCCTTGTGCATTTCAGGATATAGTCTGTTTTAAAATAAATAACCACCCAATTTTCCCTTCCATTAAGCCAAGGTTAAAAATAGATTTTAAAATCTGAATACACCTGCATTTTGAACTCCTTAGAGTAAGTTAACATATGAAACTGTTATTGAAATTCTTGACAGGACTCTTAATCATTACAGATTCATACAATGAATTTTATGAATGACATTAAGCAAAGGAAATATTCTTCCCTTCCTTTGAAGCCCTTTCCTTAAACTTTCTAATGTGATTAATGTGGTGTACATCTCAGGGTTTTTATTCTCGCTGAGTGCGATATGGGAGCAATGGAGAAAGTTATGAGGAAAGCTGAAAACCACAATAAGGCAAATTTCTGCTTTCCATGGGAATATTCCCTACAACGGCCAAGAGACTAGCAAATACTATGCATCTCCATCAGGGATGAGAAGCAAGAGTTTGCTCTGAAATTGACTTCAGAGTAGAGATGCCAAAGCAAATAAATCACTGTAAGTGAAATACTTTGAAAGGTAATGGGTTTTAAAAATATTTGTGCAGGTTAAATTTTTTAATTGGAAGTATTCATTACTGTCAGATGTGATGAGGGCACATGCCCATCAGATCTCTAGAGATCTCCTTCTCCTGGTATATGACTCATTATTTTTAGACCAATCCCTAGAACAGCAGACACCCCCAACAAATGTTACTGCATGAAGAAAAATAAGCCAAAGTTCAAACATTTTACACTTCACCTAAGCCAAAACTGTATTCTATCGAGCAAGAATTAAGTAAAGGCCTCAAAGTTCTTAGATTCCTTCAGTCCCTACACGTTTTTCATCAGTAAGAATTATGATGAGCAAACTTATTTGCCTATTTGACCCAACTACTCAAACCATGAATAGAATAAAATGCAAAACAGACTTTTATTTCCTAGGCTGCCCTGCCCTGAGCCAAGTTCATCCTCAAAGACTCTGTTTCACTTTGTATTGCCATTGTGGTGTGACCTACAACACTTAAACCATTTATAAAGAATTTTGAGAGAAGAATGGCACTTTTACAGGTTACCAAGTCTCTACAGTGGCTCCATTCCATTTTTTTTTCTTTCCTTTACAGGAATCTTTTGTAACTGAAGTAAAAAGCCTTCAGTCATCTCTCTGATGGAGAATGAGGGAAATCACATCTATGGATAGACAGGAAATAACCTATTTGTTTTCCTAAAATTCCACTGGACATAAATCTCTGATCATAGATGATCAAGGACTTCTCCAGTTTATAATGAGAAGTTCACTGTATAGTCATCAAGTCACCCAGATGTTGGTCAGTAAGTCACCTAAGTGGCTTCATCCACCTACCCAGATTCTATGATGAGAACGGTGATTCCCAAATCCCAAAGTAATGGGAAAATAACCTTTGTAAAGTGAAGGAAGTACTATATGGTAAGAGGCAACCTGTACAAAAAGAAAGAGAAGAGTGAAGCATTAAACATGTTGATGGACTGGGGGCACAGTCTGGGACCCCTGCTTATTCAAATTCAGCCTAAATGACCTAAGTGGATTTTGACTTTGTCTCAGCCCCTGGGACTGACCTATACTGCTTTGATCTAGCAGATCTAAACAGGGCAAACATTTCAGTATTCCCTAGAGGATATCCCAGACCAGTCACTCCATATCCCTGAGGGAAATGATCCTGAGGAGGTCCCTTTCCTCCAAGTTCATTGTTGTAAGTCTCCAGAGAGGTCCAGAAAGTACTGGACTAATTGAATACCATTAAGATTGCTAAGAGTAATTTGGCTATGAACAGAGAAATTTAAGACCGTTGAACTGGTATCACCTTCAGAGTTCAACTGGTCTAGGACATGTAAGTGAGTCTGAAATAACTATTCCGCAAGATTAGAGATAAAATAGAGCTGCCTCTAATTTGAAGAGTGATTGCCACTCCCAGTGATTGCTACTCTGCTAATAAAAAGAGCTAGTTCACTGAATGCTCTAAGCCAGCACTGCTCTAAGTATGAGAACATGTATTGATTTGTTTAATTCTCACGACAACCCTAAGAGGTAGGACTTATTACCATTCTGATTTCATCAACGAAGAAATGGAAACTTAGGTTAAGTAACCTGTCCAAAGTTATTCAGCAAATAATGTCCAGCCTGTGGCTCAGTACCAGGCTTCTTTCTGTATGTTCTCATCCAGATGCCCTGTCTCTTACTTCCCTGAAAGTCTGGAAGAGTGCCTGTGACCAAACACAGAGAGCGAGATGCAGACAACAAGCACAGGGTCTGTGGCCCAGCTGGGAGGAGAGTTTTTCCTTGCCCAGCTCCTTGAGACCCTTCTCACCAGTCTCCACTATTTTTCTCTCCACAAAGTCTCTGTTGAAAGAAAACAGATTTACAGATAGCATGAGGGCCACACAGCACAGGCAAGCTTCAGATGGATCCTAGTTTATAAACTAGAAAACTGGAAAGAACAGACAGCTGGCTGTCTACAATGCTCTTTGCATCACACCCAGGGAGCTTCCAAGGCAATTAGGAGCACGTGATGCTCCCAACAGGTGCTCCTGAAATTTCAGAATTGTTCAGTTTGTGAAATTTCAGAATGGCACGATCCGTATGTATGTGACTTAGACATCAAGATGCACTTTTCCCTATCAAAAAAGTGCTTTTCTGGTCCCAGACTTTTTAAAGTTGACATAAGGAAAGGATAGAAGACACACCTGTAAGTGATATTCAAAACCACTGAATGAAGGACTCTTATTCCTTTGTTTCAACTCGCCTGCTCTTAAGGAAAGACTCCCCCCACCGTCCCCTCCACCGTTGAGTATCTTGACAGTCATTTAGGTGACTAAAATACCCAGTATATCTTAGTGAAAAGCTATTTTTAAAATTACTTGATTTAGAAAACTCCAATCATGATAATTTCATAGGAATTCTTAGTATACAAATTAAAAGTTTTAAATTACTCGGCAAGAATTTGTGAGTTCAAATAATCTTAATGAGAAAATACCTGCATCGATGCATATTTATCAGGTGCTTTTAACATCTGTCCCTGATACAAAATTATTCTGAGGGTAGCTTTATGAGTTGTACCTCCTGTGGTCAGTAATAGCAGTCATGACACAGTTGATACTAGGAGCCAGAAGTAGCCATTCTAGTGTCCCCTCGGCTCTGCCACTTTTAATGTCAGGCCTTGAGAATGTCATTTAACTTCTCCTAGCCTGCTCCCCCTCCCCTCACCGTGCCAAGAGGGTCCCAGTTCCCACCTCCAAGCGTAGTTTCACGGATCAAATAAGACAAAAAATTGTTAACTAAATGCACATGAAAGAGACTGTAGTCAGCCTCAAGGCACTAAAACAGACTATTAAAATTACAAACTGAATGGGGACGGCAGTGTGGCTTGGTGAGGAAGACGCAGGTGTAGTCTGCTGCAAAAAGGAATCCGTTTGGCTGATTGGCCAACTTGGTCAGCTCACAACCCTGGATGAGTCCGCTCTCAGTTTTCTCGTCTGAGAAATGAAACAATACTAACCAGCCCCTAAGGATGATGTGGGGATTAGAAATAATAAATGTAAGGCCTCTATCAGGACAGGCAACATGAGGTGCCCAGTAAATGGCACCCATTTCACATCAAAGAAGCCATTTAATGAAGCCAAGTACACTGTGTGTTTCAACACTCGCAACAGCTGACCAGTGTTCGCCTAGAACAGAACATCCATTAGCAGAGCCCCAAATACCCTCCTGCCATAGCCAGCCCCTGCCTTCATCCCACTTTAGACTCCAGCAGATTAAGGCTGTGCTTGCTGTAGTCACATTTCCTGCTTTAAAACATTATAAAACTTACTAATGAAATTTCAAATGTAAAAAAATCAAATTAATACCACCCAACGTGGCAACCCCAAACGCAGGTTTTTTCCTAACCTTGTACTCCGTGAACTTCTTCACTGTTTGTTACTGATCTGGAGACAAGGGTGGGGTCCGGGGACCAGGGTAAGGACAAAGGCAAAGTGAATCCGCTGCTGTTACCCAGAACGTTGAATATGACCACAATAAGCCACCTCTGGCTCGCCTCCCCAGCTCCAGAGCGCCAGAGGCAGGCCCGTGAGAGGCGCGGAGAGCTACAAGCTGGAGAGGGGCTGGAGTCCCACCGCGCCCAGCCCTGCCCCCGGGCCGGCACCTTCACCAAGCAGAGCGCGAGTTAGAGGAGTGGAGCTGGGGAAGGGCACATGCAGTTGGGTTAGTCTGGACTCGACCATGCGGCCGTGCGTTCCTGCTTGGCACACGCGCTTAGGCAAAACAGACTTGATGCTTACAATGATCCCAGCCCAAAATGGAGTGTCTCTGACTAGCAGGGAGGAGCTGATGCTCGCCATGAGGAAGCCCACCACGGTCACGGCGATGCCCAGGGCCAGCTGCAGCAGCGCGAGCAGCAGCGGGAACCGGCAGCCGCAGCACGTCCGGGCCTCCTCCTCCCCGCACTGCTTGGGGGCCCCTTTGCCCGTCTTCGGCCCCATGTCGTCGGGCCCGGCGGCGTCCGCGGCTGGCCCCCCCTGCCTGTGCTGGCCGCGGGGCTGCTTGTCCTTGCCCATGGCCGCTGCGTGGGTGGGTGGGTGGATGCGTGTGCCGCGCGCTGGGCCCCGGAGCGCGGCGCTGGGCGGGCTGAGCCTGCCCTGGTATTCGAATTACGGAGGCTGAACAAATATGGAAAACATTTGGAGCCGACTCGCCGGGCCTCCAAAGGCCACAGGGAGCCCGCAGCAGAGGGGGAGTCGAGGGGGGTCGCCAACTGCCAACGCGCCGGGACGCAGCGCCCGCTGGGCCCACCGCAGGGTTTGCCGACCCCCGCGGGAGTTGGCGCGGCGCCCTTGGCCTTCTAAATCCTGTGGGCCTTATGCACTTTAGACAGGCTACGTGTGTGTGTTTGTGTGTGTGTGTTTTCCTCACTGAAAACCCCAGGATTTTTTTTTTTTTTTTTGGCTTTGTTTTTGTTTTCTGAGAGGTGCAATGCAAGGTGATGAATGTTTAGTCATTTGAGTTTAATTAACAGACAGTTTAGTCCAAAATAGGCATTGCTGGGTTCCAAGCTGCGAAGTCATTTCCAGAAGTTAAATTGTTCTTATTTTCCAACAAAGGAATAGGCTCTTCTTTATGAATTCTGCAATCCAGCTGACAAATAAAGGCACGTTTCCCATGGAGGATGTATCTGCTTTTGAAAGCACTGTTTATGAAGATGTTGGGCTAATACACTCTTCCCAGTGCATCTGTTTTTAAAAGTTCTTTCGGTTGTTTATCTGGACTTCCCAACCAGTCTTCAGTAATCTCCACATCAGTGCCGAGGGGCCTTGTGATAGCCCTTGGACATGGACAATTTAATGCAGTCCACATCAGAGAGATTTTTAAAGCACCTACCATGTGCTACAATGGGAGTTCAAGATAGATTCGGTCCCAGCCCAAAGTCACAGAAAGAATCAATAAAACCAATGATTCTTATTCCCACATACCTGTGCTCAGTAGCACTTAGTGCTCATTTCAGGGAAACCACTAAGAAATGATCCCATCATTTTGGAGTATTTTATATCTACTTTGGTATGGTCACTGTAACATTCAGAAAGACATGTTTAAAAAATAAATGATGTTGATGCTGGGATAAATAAAGCCTGCTCTTAGACTGCTCACTATCCGCTAATTTAAAGAAAGTCTCATTCCCTGCTTTGTTTTCTTAGAATTATAAACTAATCATCAACTCTTTTTGTAAACTACTAGATACTAGCAAAGGCACCTTTGAAGCTATAAGATATAATATTAAGTTATGAACTTCAGTGTTTTCTTATACGTTCCTTCTGGATCAGTGAGAAAAATATAGTCCACGGAATAAACTCGGTAGCTCGAAAGCAGAATTCAAACCACACAGGCCAGGGTTCCCCCTGGAAGCAGCAGCAGCAAGGCTCTCTCACAAGAGCAGCACAGGGGCTGAGGTAAGGTCATTGTCAGCTGTGGGGCGGCCATACCGCTAGGATTTCTAGTGAGAACAGACAAATAAAAGCGGCTGTTAACACCAAGGTACCTGCCCAACTTGGGCCTGAGAACAACCAAATGACAAAACTGTACGTGGTTTTTCTACATAAACATGGAAAGCATCTTTAGGAAGCTGATTACACAGAAATAATTCTTTGTTGTTATGAATAATGTAGAGATCAATAACCGAGTATCTACTCTGTATCAAGTATATGCTAGGTGCTTTACACACTTGACCGTCACTCCACACACCACCTTATAATTATAGTTTCCGCTTTTAGAGATGAAAAAATTGAGTGCCAGAATTATTAAGGGACCAGATTATTAGGCTACCCACCTAATTAGTTAGGATGGGGGTGAGGGGAACTAAATGTCAACTGTGGTGGATTACCTATTTTAATAATTACTTCCTATAGGCAAACAAGTGGATAGTGTAAATTATTTGTGATTTTAAACAATTTAATGATCATAGGTGGTATTTTATCCATCACAGAATTGGCTATTAGCCTTAAACCTAAGACTATCTGAGAACTTTACACAAATATCTTGATTCACCACCGTAATGTATATACAACAGTGGATGAAGAGCATTATTTCCGTTACTCATTTGTAACTAGACACGGGCTCTATCTGCTGACCATACAATGAAACCAGTAGCAGTGGACAGGTGAATTGTAATCCTTCTAGTCTGATTACAACCACCAACTTCAATTTTCAGTTTCCAGTGAAGGAAGCAGCAGTGATACAAGGAGCCTTACACATGCTCCAATTCCCAGCTGCTTGGTTGACTCTGTGCTTGAGTGGGCCTGGTCTGTAACCAGGAGATGATGGTGATGAGAAGATGAGATGTCAACTGACATGGGGAAGTGGAAGCAAAGAAGAGGGTGAGAAAAGTTGTCAGGAGGTTAGTAATAAAGAACAATCGAGGCTAAAATGGAAGGGGAGGGTTGTTAAGGATACAACAAGGAAAGCTTTTCCTTTATTTTTAAAAATATTTTATTTATTTATTTGACAGAGATCACAAGTAGGCAGAGAGGCAGGCAGAGAGAGAGGGGGAATCAGGCTCCCGAGCACAGAGCCCGATGTGGGCCTTGATCCCAGGACCCTGAGATCATGACCTGAGCCGAAGGCAGAGGCTTTAACCCACTAAGCCACCCAGGTGCCCCGCTTTTCCTTTATTTAACATGTCCTTTCCACTGAGAAAAATCACCATTTCCAGCTCATCACATAGTTGAACAAAAATGAGCAGGGCTTTTTTAGTTGTTCATAAATTATAATGTCACTGTTTTATAGGTTAAGCAATAATCTCTTCAGATATTTACACTACCGGGAAGAAAGGCAAAGTAGAAACCAAGTGTTTTCAGATATTCTACTGGCTGCTCTCATAACTCAAAACTAACAAAGGGAAAAAAACAAACCAACAAAGGCTATAAATTAGAAATTGAAGGAGAGTAGTTAGTGTACGATTTGAGATTATTTTGATCCTCTGGGGAAAATAACAAAATTAAGCTTAGTATCTACCTCTGCCGTGTCCCCAGTTCCACATTATTGGGAAGTATTTACACTTCAGAAGTTCAGAACTGGGAAGATGATAACTCTTTTTATAACCAGTATCATTAACAAAAATGTCCTAGGAGACCCAACTAGAAATAATCTTTAAACCAATGTTTTTCTGAACCCATGATCTTAAGTTCGCCAAGAACAAAAAAGATTTCATAGAAAAATTATTACAGTTCCAAGGACTGTATCAAGTGTCTTTAATATGTAATTAAATGTATCAAAGAGGTCAATTAGATTTGATTTAAAGAAGTATCAAATACTCTACAGAGAACAGTTGAAAACTCATTTATGATATGCAGCCCCACTGGCCCATACGTAAAATGACTTTACAGGTATTGCTGATATGTGTGTCTGTGTGTGTGTGTGTGTGTGTGTATAAGAAATTTTAAAAACTCTCATTTTTTTCTATTTTCCTTTTTTTCTATGTCATTAATTTTCCATGTGTCTTTGGTTCATTTTCTTTTTCCAAAAGAACTGACCCATTTGTGGGTTTTTTTTCATGACAATTTATATTTTCAGGTTAAATGTTATATGGGAAGTGTACTCTTTATGGTCAAGAGAGGGCTTATAACTTTCTCATTCTACAGACAATTTACAAAGCTGTTAACTACCAGTCATTTCCTAATGCATTCAACCTCTTTATATCATGTTATTTATAATGATATCAAATTTTTCAACATATAATTTTGTTCATGTAGCTTTATCCATGTAATTTTGATGTTTTCACTGCATATGATGAAATAACTAAATTAATTTTAAATAAGAATACTGGGAGAAGAATGCATAAACAAGCTGTGGTATATCCATACAGCAGAATACTACCTGCCAATAAGAAGGAATGTATCAGTCACTGTATGTTAATTATACTTCAATTAAAATTTTTAAAAAAGAGTTAACTATTGATATAAGCAATCATCTGAATGAATCTCACTAACAGTGTGCTAAGAGAAAGAAAACATAAAGAGAAACATAAGAGAAAGAGACATAAAATAATATATGTTGCATATTTCTATTTATATGCAAATTTTTGAAGGTCAAAACTAATCTTTGATTATTGAATTTAAGAAGTGATTATGGACTTGGCATCAGAGAATTGATTGGAAAGGAGCAGGAGGGGACTTCTGGAATGACAGAAGTCTTCTTTATCTTGACTTAGGTAACAGGTATGTGAGTCTAAACATTTGTGAAAACTCATCGAACAACATTTAAGATCTATGTATGTTATTTTATGTAATGATATCTCAATTTTCAAAATGTGATAAAAAGAACTATAGGAAGTCACTGTATATCCATCAGGAATTAACTTGAACAAGTTGGGGATTTTTTAAGTTTATTATTGAAGTACAGTTAACATACAATGTTGTAATAATTTCAGGTGTCCTCAGATTTCACAGTTCTATACATTAATCAATGCTCACTGTGATAAGTCACAATAGTCACCATCTGTCACCATACAAAATTATTGCAATATTATTGACCATATTCCCTATACTGTACTTTTAATCTCTATGACTTATTTTATAACTGGAAGTTTGTACCACCAATCCCCTGCATCTTTTTCACCCATTCCTCCACCCACCTCTCTTCTGGTAACCACTGTATTCAAGAGTTTGTTTGTTTTGTTTTTTAGATTCTACATGTAAGTAAAATCATAGGGTATTTGTCTTTTCCTGACTTATAACACTTAACAGAATACCCTCTATGTCTATCCATGTTGTGCCAAATGGCAAGATTTTCACTCTTTTTGCTATGGTTGTTCCAAATGGCAAGCTTTCATTCTCTTTTCCACTATTATGGAGAATAATATATATATATATATTTTTTTTTTCATATATCACATCTTCTTTATCCATTCATGTATGCATGGACACTTGGGCTGCTTCCATATCTTGGCTGTTGAAAATAATGCTGCAATGAAGAGGAGTTCATATATCTTTTTGAATTAGTGTTTTTGTTTTCTTTGGTAAGTATCCAGTAGTGGAATTACTGGACTATATAGTATTTCTTTCTTTAA